GAATCCAGGTTTTTGGATATAAAGAAAGCATGCACACTCACATTATAAATGTTTAAAAGGAGCAGAAAACAGTTACTCATCACAAGCAACTGAATAGATTTTGAATACTCTATCCAGTTGTTTGAGAAACTGTTTTGCTTTATTCCGAATCCAGTCTTTTGAATCTAGGTTTTTGGATATAAAGAAAGCATGCACACTCACATTATAAATGTTTAAAAGATGGAGTGTAAAAATTCTTGCAAACGTTGAAGAAAGTTAGACATCCAGGTAATGTTAATGGAATACCAGAAAACTGAATACTGAAAACTGAATAGATTTCGAATACTCTATCCAGTTGCTTGAGAAACTGTTTCGCTGTGTACGTGTATGTTTGCAAGCCATTTGGGAACGCTACCTAAGGCGTAGAATCCCACTTGATTTATTAGTTTCCGTATTTTTTTTAGTAGCGTACATCAAAGTAGTACATGTACTCTCGTCCTTAGCTGTCTATCACTAGGATGACCTGTGATCTCTTCTACGGTATCATTAGAGAATGCTTTTAAACCTAGTGCCCTTGCAGGACTTCTCCTCGTTTCTTATTAATTCAAAAAGTAATGCAGAAAGCACGCGCCCGCACGTAACTAACGCCGTCTGTATCCCCTCCATAGATCCCTCGGTAGATCTGACGTGCTTCCAGCTGCAGGAAGATATGTCAAAGTCGGTAAAGCCCATGGGAACGACGAAAACAAGGGCGAAGCGCCACCAGCAGCCACCCCCGGCTCCGAGTGGTAATGGGGCGGCCCTTCGAGTGGTCTGCAACATCTGTATGTGGCTCCTGTTGCTCGTACTGACCGGATTTACAGGTTAGCCTAACTGTTGATATAACAGGACTGCACTAGCAGGGCTCGAAATACTTTGTTTTCTGTATATTTTCATTGTGGCAGATACAATTCAGTGCACCACTTAGACTTTAAAAAGTATGGGTCATACTAAAGACATTTACTACTACTTTTGGTAGCAGTAAATGCAAAAATAGATGCACCTACATGTATATATAGACATAGTACATGGACCAGTGCATGTTTGGTCCAGGCAGACATCAGAAATACCTGTACAGCCTCAATTTTACTTGCAATAAGGTGCATTTGCATCCGGTATTTCGAGCCCTGCTGGTATAACTTAATTCTAAATACTAAACTTTGGGGAAAGGGGGGGGGGGTAATTCCTACCATAAAAAGTTTACCGCACTTCACCTTTGTTTAATTTGTCGTCTTGTACTTACTTAACTCATATTTCTCCCTACCTCTTTTTTTTAATATAAATAACCTGTCAACTATCAAAAGTACTATATAGTAACACAACACATTAGACCATGTTTAAAAATGAACATCTTGCCTATTTTGTAGGTTATCTAAATGAAGAATCATCCTAATACGGTGTCACGTCGACAGATTTTTATATTGTATATACTTTATATCCCAGTAACGTACAATAGCCTTCTAATTTGAATACACATTATGACATACACAATTTCCTTGAAATCTAATGAAGTATAGACTACATTGAATGAATGCCAAGATAACCTCAGGTAAAATGGGTAATTGCATACGTGGGTTGGAAGTTTAGCTTTTAACCCTACCTAGACCGGGCTTTTTTTTGGCATGGGGGGACGGGGG